GCGAAAATCCTCTTTTGTGTCCTTTTAATACCCCAGCTTTCGTTGTTTAAAGCTATCTTGTGAAACTTGCCAAAGAGACCAGGGAATTTATTTATATTATACCTGGAAATGTCAGCGTTGATGTCCCCAATCAAACGCATGATGTCTGGCGGCACACTGACACTACCAGCAGTCTTTTTGTTACTGTCGGCATGGATGGTCGTCTTCTGAGCAAGGTTCATATAGTTAAAATAAACATATTTGAACAGGGGCTCTGCAGTGCTGAAATACAGAATAGGGATATAATATAAAACAGAGTTTTTAGATTGTATTATACCTCTGAACTCCAAGAAATAAATCTATAAAATGAGAAAATAACGAGCTTTGAACCTGTTTTCTTATTATGCTCAATTATCTATCAGTGGCACACTCAGCAATTTATTACTTACAGTGTTAGTTTATTGTAAATAACCTCACCTTGGTGGTCTCCTTGCATACTGTTCTCCTATGTCAGATGCTAATGAACTCAACTGTGGACCCAAAAAACTGTCTAAACTCTTAAAGAAGTCGAAAGGTATCTGGAAAGAACCTGAAAGCAAATAAATAAATAAATAAATAAATATGAAAAATAATCCAATCTATGAAAATTAACAGAAAACTGATTTGATGCAAACTTATAATCCTCATATTGAATAAGTTGTATTAACCCTATTTATATTTTTCATAAGCTTCTCAGTGCACAAGCTTGACAAACTTGCTTGTACAATTAGCCTTTCTTTAAATTATTTCACATCTTATAATATAATAATGTATCAAACTGTCATAGCCTTAAAACACTAGGGGTCAGTTTCACAATATTTCATTAAAGTGGACAACTATTAATTTATCTTAAAGCATGTAAGACTAAAAGTTGACAGTTTTAAAGTTAAAAAAACCATCTTTGATCTTAAGGACATTTATAAAATTAAACCCGTACCCTCTATAAGCATGCAGACGGTGGCACTCAATGCTCTGTAGACCAGAAGATGGCACTCCTCATCAGGACGTCCCGTGTTGACAAATATCCTGGGAATTTTACCAAAGTTTTGGGGTTCAGTCAGGCTTGGAGGACCTGTAACAAACCTACAAAAAGGTGCAGAAGAGAAAAACTGTAAGTTGACTTTGATGTGTGCATCATAGAATATCTGACAAAAATGTGCAATGATAAATAAAATGCTTCCTTTTTAAATTCTGAATTACTTTATCAATCAAAAAAAAAATGATTTGATTCTTACTCAAACAAATATGTAAAAGACATACGATTTTAATTTAAAACAGACCTTTAGATAAAAAGTTTAGTAGGTTGAAAATTTGCAACTTTCATTTATAATGAAGTGATATTACTAGTAATTATATCAGATGGATTAAGAATGTGTCAGGTGGCCACACACACACGCACACGCACACGCACACACACACACACACACACACCTACATGTGCCACTTACTTCCCATAGTGGCTGGTACTTGGCCCTCCAGTCACATTAGTAGAAGAACTGTATGGACTGCCTCCTTGTAATTCTTGCTCCATATATGCTGGAAACAGACTTGTTGTCAGGTATTTGTACATATACCTCATATCATCCTGCTCAAGACCACTCCTGTAATACAACATTTTTTTAACTACAGCAAATATCTTTATGCCAGATATTCATGAAGCATTAGCTTTATTATGTTATTATCATCTCTCTGCTGGTTTGACTGTTTGTAAGTGGGCATGATATATCCAAAAGTTCTTAGGCAAAAAAATCTTAGGCATTACACATTTATTCTGGAGGGAAAATAGTGATTACTACCAAATTCAGGTCACCAAATATTCTCATTATCCTTTCCTTGATAAAAAGCTTGCATCTTTTTTTTTTAATTTTATGAAGCATTAGATATACACATTAATTTTATCTTTTGAAAAAAGATTGAAATTCACTCTCAGACATATTTCCTAAGCACACTTACCATACTAACTGGTCATTATAAAGGAATGCTGTGTACTTCACTTGTAAGAAAGTGGCTTCCAACAAGTTGATGAGGCATTGTATCTTGAGGTATGTGTTCTTGTCAAGAGGCAGGAAGTGGATGCCACAGTACACATCTAGGATATCACTTTGGTTCAGCTTCAGTGTTTGTAGATACTAAAATCAATATATTCATAAATGTCTTTTTAAAAGATACAGATGCAAACCCACCTTTACAGGTAGTAGGTATAAGATAAAGGAACTTGAACTTTGTAAACTCTGCATGCAAGTTATGTGTATTTTTTTATGTTGTTATTGTTAATGCTAACATTATTTTTGAAACTTTACATGCATACATAACTGTAAATACCTCTAAAATGCATATATTAAAACAAGCACAAATAAACATTTCTTGAAGTACTAATGATAATTACAATTTCTACAAAAAGTGACAGACACAAAAGTGTGTCTTCTGAAAAATCGATAATGCACTGCTGTCAACATAATATGTATCTTTCAAATGATGCCACAATTACATACACCTGTAATACACTTACCCTTGAAAAAAAGTGGTCAAGCCTCTGTTTCAAGTTTTGAGCTGTCCCTTTTTCTAAAATGTGTTGAAAACTTCCCATAAATAACTGAAAAGGGGGGAAAGGTACAAATATACTGCTAACAGATCTTCAAAATTTGACAGACATTTCCAACAATACTGGTGCCTGTTAACTGTGGTTTTATAGAACAACAAAGAAAACAGTATATTGCTAAATAACTTGAAGAACAAAATATAATGATTTTATATGCAGCTTTGTTTTCTTAAGTATTCAAATGAATATTTAAACAAATATTCTAATCAGCACTCAACTAATTTAAATTCATCAATCCAAGTGCAAACGTTTGACACTACAATCATTTTTAAACTTATCTTCACAAAGTCTGTAAGATGAAAACTAATAATGGCTGAAAGTAAAAATAAATTTTGAAAAAAATTATAATAATTGCATTCAGAGGTGGATCTCTAATAATTTTCCTAAACTGTTAAAGCTTACAAATTTGAAAATTGTCATTACATATCTGCACTGTTACCTTAAACATTCTGTAAGCTTGTTTCAGTACAGCATCAAAGACCGAGTCCTGCACATCATCCTCATGGAACTCCATGTAACTCTGCCCATCTTTCTCTTTTTCACTGGATGGAATGCTGACTGTCTGTAATGTAAAGTTAAAATATCAACAAGCTATATTATTACAATACCAGTACATGTATAACCCAGTCTGTGACATTAGCCAAGGTAGATTTAACATCAGACTAGTTAAAACTGCAACTATTCCATACAACTGTGGGAAATTTTAGCCACTTCAGCTTCATCAATCTCACAGTATTCTTGTCCTGAATCTATTTTACTCTGTGCTCAAAACTTCAAACTTTTGATGGCATAAAAAACCCAGATATTATGTCACTGTGCCAACAAAAGTTAAAATAGTATAAATCTTATATTGAAATAGTTAAAATGTAATTAATCTAAGTAGCTGGTACATACTTGATTATTTTAAAGACATGTCAGTGCATTTTGTAATGTACTGTTTTACTTTGTGGTATGTGGTTCATCATATGCATTTTCTTAAATGTCACATAAAAAATCTAATAACTAAAATATCTGTCATACCAATACCATCCAGAAGTCTTTTTCTGGCTGGTGAAAGACCTGTCTAGTTTTCTGTGCATGCATAGCTTCACAGGGGTTATCTGAGAAGGTTCTGAAAGNTTTTTTTCTTGGCTTACCTATTTAAATTTTGGTTAATAAGTAGCCATCAGTCAAAAATAGTCACTCATTTTATGAAAATATATTTATATTGTTGAGAGCACCACATGTTGTAAATCTTTCCAAATAGCAAAAGTCTATGTAAACATTCCTGTTGTTGTATTAATAATTGTATTAGTTAAGGAATATTTCCAGAACCCAGGTCAACCGCCTCAATGCCAATGTGTACATATTGTTAGAAGTAATTGCAAAATGCAGTGCTCACTTGTTAGTTAAACTACGTAAGCACACACATGCACATGCTCGTACACATGCCAATGTGTGCAAACACACATGGATGATGTATTGTTTATTAAGAAGCCAATTGCTGTGTAAAATGTGATTTGATTTGAGAGAAATGAAATAAAGATCTGCCAAACTGATCAAATGGGTGTAAAGTAGTGTTTTGCCATTATATCTTGAATTCCAGGTTTCTACTACATGTAGTTGTAGATACAAAAAGTTCCATCAGATTTCCAAACTAATACCAATCAGATTTCCAATGAAAAATTATATGTAACTTAATTGGCTTAAGTCAGTGTAACTATTACATGGACTGACTTTGTGTTCAAATCCAGTAAAAGATTTTTTCACAATTTAGAAACCAAGACAGGTGTTAGCCGTGGCAATAGACTCCTGTGATAGACCTCTGAGTATTCTGAGATAAAAGCTGCTGAGGTAAAAAGATATGTTTTTTTTTTTACTTTCCATAATTTAATACAGATATAGGCAGACAAGAAGTTTGATTTTACTGAAGAAAAATGAAGACTCAAAAAATGTGGCAAAACAGTCTTTCATCATACAAAATTTAACTTGGCAATTATCAAGCATGTGTTAAATTGATCAATTATTGCAATATCTTATGCTTTGGCCATAAGGTGACTTTAAATTAAAATCTGACTTCCTTTATGTTAGCCTTGGGAAACACTGCCACTGCGACACAAATTGATACAGTGGTTGATCAACTATGATGAATGAATTCAGATTTATATTTTCTTTGTCAGAGATATGAACTGACAATTATGAAACCATTGTCTAAGGCACATACAAATCAATACCGATGAAAGTACAACCTTCCCACTGGCATAGATAAAACGATACTGCTGGAAAAAAATACTAAAATAGTACTATGATAAAAAGCAATATAACATCAAAAAATGTGCCATCAATTTGATGATTTTTTTCATTGTTTGTACCCATCCTTCATACAAAAAGTCTATTTAGACAAAACATAATTTATTATTAGGTGAGAAAGCATCCAAAGCATCCATTAAAAAAAGATCAAAGGTCATGAATCCCATTGTAATTACAATGTAACACAGAGCACAATCATGTTTATCATATCAGTAATGTCCTCCTATTTAAAAAAATAATCACATCTTAGTGATCTGCCAAATCCAGTTTTTGATCTTTAGTATGTTCTCTTCCAGATGGATTAATTGAGCCTTCTGTCCAAAATATAAATGAGACCCTTTTCACATAGATATCATCATCTGTCCATGTGGATTGACCCAACTCTGCAGGGAATCTTGCTAACTGCAATCAGGCCTGCCTGCTCTTGTTTCCAAGGTACTCCTATAATCACCAGATTTTCTGTATTCTACTTGACACCAGGAGGAGGCATGTCACTCTGTTAACCTGACTGCATTTAGCAAGAATCCCTGCAGAGTTCAGTTCCAGGTGGACCAATTGTGTCTATGGGAATGGGGCCTGAAAACTTAAATATAACTGAAAGATAAAGATTGTCATAGTGTGTAATTAATCCTTAGGAATATATTATTGTTCTGACTGTTCTTGAAGAGATTTACTTGATAATTGTCCCTTGCCAACTGAATCATCCGATCGAAGTTCATTATTTTATGACAAATTTCTATCCTCATTTTTAACAAAAACATATTGCACTTGATTGCTGAAATTTTGATTTCAGTCCAGAAAGAAAATATTGCTGAAATGAGACGTGCACAGCTTCTTCACTTCCTCTGAAAAAATGAAAAATAATAATCATCATAAAATTAATATCTTAAAAACTTCTTAACAAAACATTACAATTTTTCTAAGTCTAACTTTCAATTATCTTCATTCTGTTGCCAAATACTGAAAAAGTTAGTGTTGTATTTTTAAACTGCCCATCCAGTTAACTCAATGAAATGTCCCTTCATTGCCATATAAATGATAAATATACAATCATAAAAAGATAATCACCATTAATTTCAATAAGGTTGGCATTTTTCTGATTGATGACAACATAGAATTCCCGCTGGTCTGACTTCTTGCCCACTACCCAGTAGTCTCCAGTCTGTGTTCTGGCTATTGTCTCATTATCATCATTGCTTGATCTGAAGAATAGTCTACAATTATCATCTCAAATCATGAAAGACTGAAATATCAGATAAATGGCCTTTTTAAGAATTTGTGAACCTCAACATTTCCACCTAAATATTCATTGCAGTCTTTGATAAGACCAATTTCTGACTCAAATCAGTCCTCTGCTAGGATCATCAGTTGTCTTAAATAGTTTAACTAGATGCCCCTTTGAAACAATATCTTATACGGTTGCTAATTTTTCCAAAATGCATAGATGTACTACATGTATTTGGTCTATTTCACCTTAGGACAGTTGTCAAATAAAAAAATTTTATCTGCCATATCTATCTCCTTATAATACAGGCACTATATATCATTTAAGTGGGCCAATTTTTATTCATTTATTGTCAAAATAAACTTTAAAAAATTCTGTCAGTAGGTTAATACCCCAGCTTTCGTTGTTTAAAGCTATCTTGTGAAACTTGCCAAAGAGACCAGTGAATTTATTGATATTACCTGGAAATGTCAGCGTTGATGTCCCCAATCAAACGCATAATGTCTGGTGGCACACTGACACTACCAGCAGTCTTCTTGTTACTGTCGGCATGGATGGTGGTCTTCTGAGCAAGGTTCATATAGTTGAAATATACATATTTGAACAGGGGCTCTGCAGTGCTGAAATACAGAATAGGGATATAAGTTAAAACAGTGTTTTTAGATTGTATTATACCTTTGAACTCCAAGAAATAAATCTATAAAATGAGAAAATAACGAGCTTTGAACCTGTTTTCTTATTATGCTCAATTATCTATCAGTGGCACACTCTGCAATTTATTAGTTACAGTGTTAGTTTATTGTAAATACACTCACCTTGGTGGTCTCCTTGCATACTGTTCTCCTATGTCAGATGCTAATGAACTCAACTGTGGACCCAAAAAACTGTCTAAACTCTTAAAGAAGTCAAAAGGTATCTGGAAAGAACCTGAAAGCAAATAAATAAATAAATAAATAAATAAATAAATAAATAAATAAATATGAAAAATAATCCAATCTATGAAAATTAACAGAAAACTGATTTGATGAACACTTATAATCCTCATATTGAATAAGTTGTATTAACCCTATTTATATTTTTCATAAGCTTCTCAGTGCACAAGCTTGACAAACTTGCTTGTACAATTAGCCTTTCTTTAAATTATTTCACATCTTATAATATAATAATGTATCAAACTGTCATAGCCTTAAAACACTAGGGGTCAGTTTCACAATATTTTATTAAAGTGGACAACTATTAATTTATCTTAAAGCATGTAAGACTAAAAGTTGACAGTTTTAAAGTTAAAAAACCACTCTTTGATCTTAAGGACATTTATAAAATTAAACCCGTACCCTCTATAAGCATGCAGACGGTGGCACTCAATGCTCTGTAGACCAGAAGATGGCACTCCTCATCAGGACGACCCGTGTTGACAAATATCCTGGGAATTTTACCAAAGTTTTGGGGTTCAGTCAGGCTTGGAGGACCTGTAACAAACCTACAAAAAGGTGCAGAAGAGAAATACTGTAAGTTGACTTTGATGTGTGCATCATAGAATATCTGACAAAAACGTGCAATGATAAATTATATGCTTCTTTTTTAAATTCTGAATTACTATATCAATCAAAAAAAAAAAAAATGATTTGATTCATACTCAAACAAATATGTAAAAGACATACGATTTTAATTTAAAACAGACCTTTAGATAAAAAGTGTAGTAGGCTGAAAATTTGACACTTTCATTTATAATGAAGTGATATTACTAGTAATTATATCAGATGGATTAAGAATGTGTCAGGTGGCTACACGCACGCACACACATGCACACACACACACGCACACACACACACACACCTACATGTGCCACTTACTTCCCATAGTGGCTGGTACTTGGTCCTCCAGTCACATTAGTAGAAGAACTGTATGGACTGCCTCCTTGTAATTCTTGCTCCATATATGCTGGAAACAGACTTGTTGTCAGGTATTTGTACATGTACCTCATATCATCCTGCTCAAGACCACTCCTGTAATCAAATATTTTTCATCTAACTATTAGCAGCAAATATCTTTATGCCAGATATTCATGAAGCATTATCTTTATTATGTTGTTATGTTTTCATCTCTGCTGGTTGGACTGTTTGTAAGTGGGCATAATATATCCAAAAGTTCTTATGCAAAAAAAAAAATCTTAGGCATTACACATTTATTCTGAAGGGAAAATAGTGATTACTACCAAATTCAGGTCGCCAAATATTCTCATTATCCTTTCCTTGATAAAAAAAGCCTGGGTGCTCTCTTCTGATTTTTTTTTCAATTCTAATTTTTTGAAGCATCATACACACACATTAATTTTATCTTTTGAAAAAAGATTGAAATTCACTCTCAGACATATTTCCTAAGCACACTTACCATACTAACTGGTCATTATAAAGGAATGCTGTGTACTTCACTTGTAAGAAAGTGGCTTCCAACAAGTTGATGAGGCATTGTATCTTGAGGTATGTGTTCTTGTCAAGAGGCAGGAAGTGAATGCCACAGTACACATCTAGTATATCACTTTGGTTCAGCTTCAGTGTTTGTAGATACTAAAATCAATATATTCATTAATGTCTTTTTAAAAGACACAAATGCAAACCCACCTATACAGGTAGTAGGTATAAGATAAAGGAATTTGAACTTTGTAAACTCTGCATGCAAGTTATGTGTATTTTTTTATGTTGTTATTGTTAATAATAACATTATTTTTGAAACTTTACATGCATACATAACTATAAATACCTTTAAAATGCGTATATAAAACAAGCACAAATAAACATTTCTTGAAGTACAAATGATAATTACAATTTCTACAAAAAGTGACAGATACAAAATTGTGTCCTCTAAAAAATCAATAATGCACTGCTGTGAACATAATATGTATCGTTGAAATGATGCCACAATCACATACACCTGTAATACACATACCCTTGAAAAAAAGTGGTCAAGCCTCTGTTTCAAGTTTTGAGCTGTCCCTTTTTCTAAAATGTGTTGAAAACTTCCCATAAATAACTGAAAAGGAAAAAAAAGAGACAAATATGCAACTAACAGATCTGATAAATGATTTCCAATCCAATTTTACAGAAAGGGTCCACTCAAAAAGTAAAGAAGTAATTTCTTATTACTGGCTGGTTTAAGTATTCTTCAAAATTTGACACACGTCCAACAATACCTGTTAACTGTGGTTTCATACAGCAACAAAGAAAACACAATTCATCAATCCAAGCCAATTTTTATGATAAAGGTTCAACTATGTAAATGTTTGACACTTCAATCATTTTAAATATGCCCTTACCGAGTCTGTAGGTTTATAACTAATAATGGCTGAAAGTAAAATTAATAATTAATAATTATATTCAGAGGTGGATCTCTAATAATATTCATAAAATGTCAGAGCTTACAAATTTGAAATTTGTCATTACATATCCGCACTGTTACCTTAAACATTCTATAAGCTTGTTTCAGTACAGCATCAAAGACCGAGTCCTGCACATCATCCTCATGGAACTCCATGTAACTCTGCCCATCTTTCTCTTTTTCACTGGATGGAATGCTGACTGTCTGTGATGTTAAGTTAAAATGTCAACAAGCTACATTATTACAATACTAGTGCATGTATAACCCAGTCTGTGACATTAGCCATGACAGATTTAGCATCAGACTCATTAAAACTGCAACTATTCCATCTATCTGTGTGAAATTTAAGCCACTTCAGCTTCATCAATCTAACAGTATTCTTGTCCTGAATCTATTTTACTCTGTGCTCAAAACTTCAAACTTTTGATGGCATAAAAAACCTAGATTTTATGTCACTGTGCCAACAAAAGTTAAAGTAGTATTAATCTCATATTGAAATAATTTAAATATAATTAATCTAAGTAGCTGGTACACTGTACATACTTGCTTATTCTAAAGACATGTGCATTTTGTAATGTACCGCTTTATTTTGTGGTGTGTGATTCATTAAATGCATTTTCTTAACTGTCACATAAGAAAAATTCTGATAATTATAAATATCTTTGTCTTACCAATACCATCCAGAAGTCTTTTTCTGGCTGGTGAAAGACCTGTCTAGTTTTCTGTGCATGCATAGCTTCACAGGGGTTATCTGAGAAGGTTCTGAAAGAAAACAAAAGCAATCTTACTTGAAGTTGTTTCATAACAGTTTCAAACTTACTAATAAGCTGGCACTTAGCTTGCACTCAAGGTATGGAAAATTTAAGCAAAAGACTTCATAAATTCTTATTTGGCCAAAAAAGGTGTAAAATACTGTATCATTTTTTGTCAAAAGTCTTAAGTTCAAAATATTCATTTGTCTCAAATCATCCAGATATATTCTAGCAAGAGTTTTATCCAAGAGTGACTCCTGTTAGGGACAGCACTGAACAACATGATTGTATAATGCTTGTACACTTAAGTGGTAAGAAACAACAGGTATCATAATTATCATTATTTGCTTTCCTAACCAATATTAATAAAGATAATTAAATAATGCTTGACAGGAATATGGGGCCATTCTGTGGTACTTGGTCCGCAGACCTTAAAATTTAAAGTGATGTTCTGTAGTAATTGCACCAATGCATGAAAATATGTTGTTTCTTACCATCAAAATGATCAACACAGCTTGATACTTACTCTGTGAACTTGATGATTGCCTCACATAAACCCACATCTTTGATCTTCTTATCTAACTCAGTGTTTGGTGGATAATAGTACAATATCTTCTTTTCTTCCTGGGAAGATCAAAGATTGGTAAATCATGCAGTACTCAGGTAATAATATATTCAGATGGCTTAAATTGCTGGACAAAATAATTTACTAATCTTTTTATTGTGTTCCAAGTATACCACATCAAGGGTTCTTAAAATAAAATACAGATATACGGCACAAACTAATTAAATTAAACTGAAGAGAGCATAAATTAAACTGAAGAGGAGGTGGAGTGAAACATCAACATGAAAAGGGTGTCAGATTACGCGTCTTGCTGGTTTACCTCTCCTTCTCTTGGTCCATACTCAGAATTAAAAACAAAGAAATTGACTAGAGACACTGGTGTCTTTTCTGGAGACTTCCCCGTCATGTCCAACTTGTTAGAAACAGCGTAAACTTTACATCTATTTTTTATCTTAATTTCGAAAAAATATTTGACTGGAAGCTGACATCTTGAATCTCGCGAGATCTCGTGCATAGTAGGTTCCAAACTTCAAAGAGGAAGATCAAGTGAGGTTGGGTAAAACTTCATTATCTCTCTCGAAAAAAAAGGTGCTTGAATGAAGTAATTGTAATTATTAGTAGGAAGATATTTCTCAAATGGTATCACGTGTGATGTAATATGTGTGAATGTTAAATTTTAATTGCGTTCTCTGACTTCTGTTTGCTAGATAGCTCATCAAGGTCTACACAAGTTGTTTTCATGCCCTTGCACTTTTCATATTTGTATGGAATACCATACAAGGTGTTTATGTTAAACTGGGGTATATGAGAAACCGCTGTACTTTTAAAAACGCTGTGTTTTATTTACACTTTTTCTTAGGTATTTTAGAAAAAAATCGGAATGTGCCAGACAAACACAAGTTACATGTATATCTTCTGAAAGGTCTTTTTAAGCAAAATGTTTTTTTTGGAATTCAGAAATTATCTTACAAGCTTGTAAGGCAAAAAACTGAGGCAAGTGACCTGTAGGCAAACCATGCACTGCTGATGCAGGACAGGATTGACAGTGGTGCCTCTAGTCACCATAGTGCATTCTGATAATATACTAGTACACCTTATTTGCTGGTCTTTTTACATTTGCCTTTTTAATTTTCAGAATGATGCCCCAGATCAGTAATTTCTTTGCTAAGTGAAAGTTGCAGGGACTTTGTTATATTTCATGCAAAACAAATTTAAGCAAAGACCCCCCTCCACCCCTCCCCCAATATGGTTGGCATATAACAAAATGATATATTTGAATACGGGTTATCAATATCCATGGTTTTGCAGTATTCACACATATTTTTTGGTAGTTACCACACTCGACTGTCACCTTGATTGGATAGTAAATGATTGTCGTAAAATCGCTATATGATTTTAAAACAGGGTGCATAAATTTGAAAACCACCTAGAACAACCTTAGACTGCCACATTAATCTAATACAATCAAAAGTGGCCAAAGCATTCACACTGAATGCTGTAAAGTCCCCATATACCCCCATGCATAGAGACAATAAAGTAGAGTAAGCTTGTGAAACAAGATTCCAGAAATTTAAAGATAATAATCGAATTAAAATAGTGCCAGGCATTGGAGCGGCCTCTAATTTACTCAATAATTTCTTTTAATTTAAAAGATAAAAATGAAATAGATTTTTAGATTCTTTTTGAAACTGCCCAAGATAACCAAGTTAGCAGTCTACTCTAAGAACAGTGTGATTTTCTACTTAAGCCATTTTGTGAAATGGGTTCCAATACTAAAATTACCATTCCCTGCTTCAGCAGCCCAAGCACCATCTTCAATAATATAATGCCTATTGTCATGGACTCAACCTCTCCCGGTCTCAATATGGCCCATGGGTTTGTGAGGCACATTCAGCAGTGTCAGATGGAAAGAAAACTCTATGAACAGAGTCTGTCTGATAGAAAGTTGCAGGAACAAAATGCAGCACAGCAGCAGCAAAATGAGTTTGGGAAGTCTGCACTGAAAAGATCTGCTACAGAGAACAAACAGAAACAAAGACCAGATCTCCCTTTGTATCAGCCTCCAGGTATTTGTATAGGCCCCATTCAGAATGAAAAGATGTAAGTGCTAACTGGTCCACGGCTTAAATATGGCAGACCTACATGAAAGGAAGACCGCTTAATCCTGTAATGGTCTCTCCGCCTCTCACAAGCCTCCCCATATGGCGTCCCTGTAGGGGCACAGTAATTAAATCTCGACTCCATTCGAGCAGATGCATGGAAAGGCATGTGAGAGGTGGAGAGACCATTACAGGATTAAGGGTCCGCCATATTTGAGCCTTTGACCAATTGATACTCGTATCTTCTATTCTGAAAGGTCCAAAAGATGCTGTCTTTTAAATGAAGTTTTAAGGAAAGGTTCCTTGTGAAAGCTGTCAAAATGTTATTTCTGTTATATCTAAGTTGCTAAAATGTTTTTTTTCTTTTTTTTTTTTTTTTGTCGAAAAAGGGAGGGTTGAGTCTAGTGGACAGTCTACTGTGTTTTGTTGTGTCATTGTTTCTTCTAATTTTTTTTATTATCACAACTGGACAGCATTGAGGAAGTCTGAAATGTAAATTTATTTAATAACTTTCATGCATAAATCTGTTGCCTTTTTTATTCAAAAGTGGAAAATTACGTTAAATTTTAGCAATTTTATACTTGTCAGTATTGTAAGTACTATTGTGATTTCATTACATACTGTTTTTTCCCAGTTTGAAATTTTGCCTTTCTGCATGTTATTAATATATATTTTGTTTTGTACCCCTCTTATAAAGTTTTGCATCTTACATACATGTATATAAAATGATAATTGACATTCATATATTCAAGAATAGTTTATAGTATTACTTGGTGCACATATGTAAGCTTTTAAAATGGTTATATTCTCCAGGTCTGCGTTTCCGTCTGAACAGTACCAGTAGTACTAGTACCTGCTGCACCAGTGACCTGCACATCATGAATGAGGAGGTGTCGTCAGAGGAGGTGGATTTACCGAGATATATTGAGGAAATGCAGGGAAACATAGCCAAAGCATTAAAAAGTAAGGTTGGGTTCAGTCTGTAAGAAAGTACACACTTTGGATGGTTGATTAGCTGGTCTGGACAATCTGAAGATTCATTATTGAAACAGTGGTTAATTGATTAGAAGGTTTTTTTTTTTTTTTCAAATACATTCATTTATGAAATAGGGACCATTCCCACTGATATTTGGATCGATCTATCTCCCTGGGGAGTCTCACCAAACTGCCATCAACCTAACAGGCCCAAATGTCTGTCCTGCCTAATAAAGCTGTTAAGGGGTAATTATCTTCACCCTAGCTGATTCTGTAGGCGTGGCAGACACTTAAGCCGGCCAAGCTGACAGCAATTGAGCGAGACTCCCCAAGAGTTAGATCGATCCAGATGGATTGAACTAGGCATGGGAACCCAGTCATTAGGTATCCATGTTCTCTGCCACTGAATGAAAAATTATATACATACGTGGGTAATCAACTACAAAAGTCAATTAATTTTTATCTGAAGAAAAAAAATGCCCCATTTTGACTTTCAGTATTTTTTATAAGTGGGGGAAATTACAGTGGAATTCAAACGTAAGAGAAGGTGTGGCTGCTACTGTATGTTATCTTAATTACCATTGAAAATTGAATTTTATGAATGAATTAATAATTTATAAATAAAATAAATGTAAGGAAATGCAAGTAATTTAAATGAAAATGAAACTGAACCTAAAATTTACTACACCTAGAATTAAAGCTGTTAAATTTAAAGGAGAAAGGGCTTTGACAAAATATGCACCCAAAATCTGGTACAGCTTACCTGCTGAAATTAGAGCAGCAGGTGACATAGAATTTTTTAAAGACTTTTAAAGCCATATATTTTAAAAACAGCTTATTACTGGTTATCAAGCTATTGTTATTCTTTTAGAACCTAGCATTCTTAATCGACAATATTTAACTCTTAAATTTTAAATTTTAGATTATTATTAGCTATGAAAATTTCAAATTTTACAACTAAGTTTTGATTTGCCATTTTAAGTTCTCAACTTTGTTATATTAAATCTTTATTGTAAAATCTAGTTCTTTTAAATTGAACTAGTAAGCCTTTTTAATTAAAAACATCCGTAAGGCCTATCAAGATTTATAATGGATTGTGGTATAAGAATAAATTAATATTATTATCAATTACTTGTCCTTAGTTTATTTGATAATGTCTGCATTTGAGTCAAAATTTAAACAATGTTGGTTTGTCCAGAAGTGACCTAAGGCTAGGCAAAATAAACTTTAAAAAAATCATATTTGCTTCCACATTTTATTCAGCAATTTTTGGCTGGCATTTTAGCTTTATTCAGTTTTTTTGGCTGTCTAAAACTAAGCGGCAGTATTTTCATGATAAAGTTACATCTTGAAACAATAAACATCTGCCTTTCCACTAGCATTTTGGTCAATCCAGCCTTTATGTCCAGTTGTCAGGGCTCTGCTACCCCAACAACCAGGTCTAGGGTAACGGATAGGAAGGTAAATTTTCCCATCAGATGCCCAACCAAATGCACAGACATCCAGTCCGTCTTCCCATGCAGCTCGCAGTTGGGCTGGTGTTGCGATTTTGGCATTGCGGTCAATGCATGCCTGTTTAGCTTGATTAAGGGACAGTTTGTATCTACCTTCAGATGAATGAACATGGAAGACTGGAACTAAAAAGAATAATTCTTGATTAGTATTAGTACTAGTAATTTCAATATGTGTAAAAAAAAAATACTCCTAATGTATAAACAAATAGATGGCCATGAATCTAATATCTACATATATTAACATTTGATCAGGGATATTTTTCCGTTTGTAGTCCTGCTAGTCCTATACACAGTGTACATACATTGTCAAGTGTACCAATATGTGCAGGTTGAATTGATCAAATCTAAATAATTTGAATTTTTAGTTGAGGTTTGATTGAGTGTACTGCAATGAACTTCAAAACTTGTAAAAAAGAGAAAAAATTACCATCTATCACTAAAAAAAAGTCAAGTGCAGAGTTTCTTAATGCTGAAGGATAGCATTTTTAAAGAACAAAAATGATTTGCAAAATACATTCTGATACAATTTTTAGAATACCTGAACATTTAAATTGGTATAAAGAAAAGTGGCAAAAGAGATCAACACTAAAGCCCCTTTTTTCACTTTATGATTTTCATGTCCTTGATGACTCCATTGTTGTAAAAATACCTACTGTGATGTCTTCTTGCATTTTGTTCCATCAGCGTCTTCAAAGCCTGCAGTTGTTCCCGAAGGTTTCGGACATCTTGTTGGGTGGAACCCTTGAGGTCATCAATACTCTGCTTTATATCTTTAAGCTCTTGGATTTCTACAATGCCAGCAATTCCAGCAACACCAGTAACCTGTCACCAGAGTGAGAAAAAGTTGCAAATTATGTTTATTTATTTATTTATTTATTTATTTATACTTAATTATATTTATTGTCAGTTATCTGATGGCAGGTTAGTGTTTTTGTTCTTTGAATCTATTTTTCACTAGACTAGGCAAAAATTATAGATGATTGGTAATACCCCCTTTACACTGGACGGCGTCCTTTCTGCGTCCTTTCTGCGACCATGAAATTTGGCATCGCTGTGGTCTTAATAAGGAGACACGAGCATTGATTTTGTAACAGAACGAATGCTCAATGATAGGCCAGTTGTCGGCACGTAAAGTATTATAATTTTTTTAACTCTCAAATGGGTCCGTACTGCTGGACGCAGAAAGGACGCCGTCCAGTGTAAAGGGGCCCTAAGTTTTGTACACGATGACTTACCTGATTAGCACCACAAGTGAAAAAGAAATTTGCACTTGTCAGGAAGGCAGTCACGATAGTGCAAAAGCAAAATTTCCACAGCATCCTATAGAGTCGAGTCTGTCTGCTTATTCTGTGATAGCAATACTCTGCTTATTCTGTCGGTTTAACGGTAATTATGTGGTACATGCCTTTATAAGCACTTCTTGTGCAGTGGTAGTTATACCTGACACTGGTAGACCGACACCAATTCGATCCAAGTGATGCCACAAGAACTTAATTTTATTAAGTGGGTGCCCTCTCTGTAATAATCCATGCAAATAAGTTAGCTGAACCTGCAAATTGGATGTAGTTAATTAGGTGTCACTTAACGGCTTGGGTGATTACAAAAATATACTGATACATATTAGTAGGTGTAGCACTTATAGGGATCTCTCTCAGTCTGTTTAAATTTTGTGTTAATGCACCTTTTTTACTGCATCAAGTGACATCAAGTCACCAGCCTATGTAAAAACCAATCGTGGTCTTATCATTTATTTTCTTCTCAGAAATCATTCTCAGATTTTTCCCTAAACCAAAGTTAGAACTTGATAAGGTCATGATTGTAGATAATAATGGGAATACAGTCAACTTTGTATGTAATAGCAGACACTTCAGGCTAAGATTAAAAGGAAAGGATTTGATTTTTCTGTACCAAAATAAAATAAGAATAGATAAATAAAATAATTCTGAAAAGAAGTTAAGGAGCACTTCCAAAAGCAGAAAATTAAAAAGAATGTTAACTGTCAATAAATAAAAATGTAAAAATAATAATTCTCAACCTTCCCTTTATTGAATTGTGCATTGTGTTTGAAATTTCCTATCAGTTATAATATAAGTGAGCATAAAAAGGAAGGGGGTCAAAAATTAAATTCACAGCTGCTAGAGTCTTGTCAGTATCATGTGTGTCTGCCTCTGGAAGCCACATATAAATGTCTGGATCTGGAGTCACTGCCTGACTAGAATTCCCTTCTTGGATAAACCATTAAGCAAGCTTATTGAGATCTACTGGTGGAGGGTGGATTTCACTGAAATCATAGCTCTAAATGGTCCCATAAGGGTGTATATCGGGCAAACAGGCAGACCAGCCCTTTCTGTGGATGTTCCTCTGCAGACAGAAATCTTAGGAAACCCTTGCACAATGAGGATGCATGTTGTCAACTTGCAGAATATTGCTCCATATGACCTATCCTACAGTGGCATGGCATTACCAGGTGCATCAGGATTTTATTCCCAGTGTAGAATCTGGTGAAATTACCATTAATAATGTAAAGGGGGGTGGGGTGGGGATGAAAACCCACCCCATACCATTACACTGCCATGGCACGTACACTTGATGTGCTTGCTGAAGGTCGCAACCATATGGACTCACCTGTGCACATGAGTGCCACTGTTGCTGGTCTAGGTAATCTTAACTCAGTTAAGGCTACTAGCCACCATTCTTGATGTGTCCAGTGTCTGTGACTTGTTGCCAATGCCACACCAGCTGATCTGTGTCTTGTCAGTAGTACTAGCTTTAGATGAACTGCTTTGAGTCTTGAACAGAGGGTATACTCCCTTACTGTTAGACAGCTTCTAACAGTTTGGTTTTGATAAGTGTGAGGACCCTTCTGGGTTTTTCTGGCAGTGAAAGTAATGTTCCGTTTGTGAAACAAATAACAAAGGTCCTGAGCTGGGGTTGTGACACAAGGTCAAACTGACCTGGGTCTGTTGGCTAACTCCCTGTTACTTTCAACCCCTGATTACTGCTAATGGATTACTAGAGGATTTACATCTAGTCTTCTGGCAGTCTCTGGTCATCCAAAACCTCTATTTAATAAACTAGTATCCCTCTTTCCTCCAGTTACATTAACCATGGCATTAAGGTATAGCCTTTTTTATGCCTTATGTCATATTTTACTTATATCTGTTTTACCTGTTGTGGATAATTAAAATTTTCGTGTTGACCTTGCTGTTAAGCAGAATGTTTTATTGCCTCAGAATTGAGAGAGGCCTATTTTGTGTATCATCATTTTCTGTTTTTTGTCTGTACATTTGACAGCTTTGCTGCTTATTTGTTTGTTTTTTTTCAGCATACATTATTTTTAATACCCATAACACATTTCAAGGAAAACCACTTGCAGGAATGATTTTAATCTTTAGTAATATTAAAATATTACTAAAATTCAGGTTGAATTTGAAAATCAGTTTGACTATGCTGTTTTTTGTGTTTTTTTTCAGCATATTTTGAAAATTAAGTGCTCAATAACCCCCAAAGGAACTACGGGAAAAGTGGCATGTGGAGATTTCTAATATGACTTTTAGATTTAACCTTTGGCCAATTTTTCAAGGTCAGAGGGGCCAGAATTCTGTAAAAAATGTGTGAAAAAAATTGTTTATGCTGATTTGCTTTGATATTATTGTGAGAAGTTACACTCTTTACAACTGAAACAGATGCATCCATAGCTACCATTTAACATGAATAAGCTCAATCTCTTTAAAATTTGGTGTCGATTCTGTACTCATGTAAAATTGCATCAAAATTGACAAAATGAGCTAATTTCTACATCATTATTTGCTTTTGTTAGTACATTTTACAGTTTTGCTGCTTGTTTTTTTTACCATTTAAAACTGAAATACAGAGAAATAATTCAAATGAAAATGAAACTGCAGCACCTAAAATTTACCTCACCAAGAATTTTGTGTTTTAAGTTTATCTGATTATGTCTACAGTAAAGCCAAAACTGTATATTATACAGTGTTGGTTTGTCCAGAAGTGAGCTTAGACTAAGCAAAATAAAATTTTAAAAAATCATATCTGCTTCTACAATTTATTCACCAATTTTTGGCTGGCAGTATTTTCATGATAAAGTTACAGCTTGAAACAATAAACATCTGCCTTCCCACCAGCATTTTGGTCAATCCAGCCCTTGTATCCAGATGTCAGGGCTCTGCTACCCCCACAGCCAGGTCTAGGGTAACGGGTAGGAAGGTAAATTTTCCCATCAGATGCCCAACCAAATGCACAGACATCCAGTCCGTCTTCCCATGCAGCTCGC